AGAGAGAGAGAGAGAGAGAGAGAGAGAGAGAGAGATTACAAATGTAGCTTGTTGAAATAATTGTTATTTAATAAATAGTAAATATATTAAACCCGCCAAGATTATTTGTAATAAACACAGTCCACGGCGTCTCTCCGGTCTGCACTACCCGTCCGTTTTGAATGCCGGCAAACATTGTATCACTATTTCGATGGTATGTAAAGCACGTGTTGTCCCTAAGCATCCCTTTCCTCCCGACTCCACACCCGATAGCAGTTATATTGGGGTAGAAATGAATCGGAGCGTGACTTCCGTTGTAGCCATCAGTCCATAGACTTAACGCTGAAATTGATATTTATTTCAATGCAAACATTCATCTAATCATTGAAAACATTTCTTACGTATAATTAATGCAATAATTATTATTATAGTTAATGAATACATTTGTTTTAAATAATGGTAATTTATTATTTTATATACAGTACTGTAATATATTAAATATAGAAGTTTATTATTTTATTTCACATAAAATTATAATATAATTGACAATAAAATTTTTTATTATAAAATCACAAGTTTTAAAAGTTGATAAAGTATTATATTGCAATTGAGTTTTTTTTTATAAATTAATATTATATTATTTTACAAAAATATTTGTCTTATATTAACTACAAATTAAAGTTAATTTAATTAATTAAATATTATAACAATGTAACAAATATTATATTACAAACAAGAAAAAATCAGACAATATTTAGTAACAATTAATTATGAATATGAATATACTATAAGATCATTGCGTTTAATGCAATCAATAATTAGTTAATACACTCATATTCAGGTCCTACTCATAATCAGACCAAAAAGACGTTATGATACGACTAATAATTAAGCCTAGCTGAAGGATTACTATTTGCAAATTCATGCTTAATTTTAAATGCATGTTTATGTGTGAATATAAATACACATAGGTGATAATTAAATGTGAAAAAAAGTTTCAAAAAAGTGACGAGACGGCGGCTTCGAACCCAGGGCCTTTAGAATTAGTACCCAACGCTCTACCAACTGAGCTATGGTGACAATGTTGAATTTGTATTACTTAATAGTACTCTTTATAGATAACCTATTAATTTCAACATGCATGACTGTTTCCAAACATGACACATAGTCAAATATGTTTTCCTATTCAAGTAATGAATTGTATTGTGTCATTGTGTATGATATTGAGATGTGATTTTGTGACTAAATTATTTTCTGCACCTCTGGGTTGGGACAAAATTACGTCCACAAAATGACAAATTCAACCACAAGTGCTTGAATAGTTTTAGGCATGTGCAACATTCACACATTTTGCATAATTAGATTCACTCATTTTTCTGATGAAGGATTATTACTCTGTAAAAATTATAACAGTGTAATAAAAATAAAATAATTTCATAAAAAGACAAACACATTAAACACAAACAGAGGGCGCGATCTGTGGGCCGACCGTCGGCTGAAGTACTAGCCGTCTGACCACTCCATCAGAGTTTACCACGACATTCATTACACCCGATATCTTGAGCTCATCGACGGCCTGATACAAGTCGTCCAGCGATCGCACATCTGATCCATTGATGGCAGTAATCACGTCATACCTCCGGACACCTGTATTAGCCCTGAAATTAAACAACAAAAATCATTGCAAAGAACAGTAAAACATTTTCATTACACAAACCAATGATCATTATTATCATCCAAGAAGTCATAGATGAGGACACCATTAACGTCGGGCACCTGTCGATACTGTTTTAACCACTGTCTCAACTCAGGGGTTAGCCAATAGATTTCGGCGCCCAGTGTTGGCCCACTTTCAACGCTCGTAAACTTCTTGAAAAAGGCTAGAAATAAGAGAAAGTGGTTTAAAACACAAATTTCAAACATAAATTATAATGATAAAACATTATACTTTCAATGTTTCAGCAAAGGCTGGGTTTTCTTGGTTTGGCATTTTCGGTGCCAATGGAGGCGTCGATCGGGAGTCAGAAGTGTTGAACGGTTTTCGATCGCTTTCCAAAGGCGGCGGTTCTTACAGTCATTCCAACAAAAAGTCGGTCACTTTGAGCTCAACCGTAGAACTCAAACCTTATAGTAGTGTTTGGGTCAAGGGTTGGATGAAAAGTGTAAAAGACCTGGAATTGCCGTTTCGGGCCATTCGCTCCTTTACCGCAACGGACCCGAGATTTATGCCATCCGTGCCATTAGACGGACAGATATTATTCGTATTAATTAATAAATATTTTAATAATAAAAACGAAATGCAAGTTAATAATTGTTCCGTTACTGTCAACCAAACTGGTTTCTACCGTGGTACTTTTGGCACTGAGACCTACACAGAAGTTAAAGAAATTCCACCTTTTAACTTATTAGACATTGACTTCACATATCTAATAAAAACACCAGCCGTCACAACACTAGCCGTCACAACACCAGCCGTCACAACACTAGCCGTCACAACACCAGCCGTCACAACACTAGCCGTCACAACACCAGCCGTTACAACATTCGCCGACCCATCGATTCAATCGTCGACCCCTTCCGACACTTTCCCACCGAATGACACAAAAATATCATTTACTTTAATGGAAATGATATGCATTTCTCTAATCAGTGTTTTGATAGTTATGTTAATTATAATATTTTGGAGTAAAAGGAAAAATTATTTGAAATATGTTTCTAATAGTAATGATAACAACTCTGTGTTTTATAATAAGAAGTAAACATTTATTTTTCAAAATACATTTAAACAACAATTTCATTTTACAAAACAATATTTTAGTTCACAATATACTGTATAACCATGAAAACGCGCAGGGGCCACTGTAGGGCCACTTTTGTATAGTGAGGTTATACTTTAGTTATAGCATGACTAATGCTATCAAATATGAATTTGTCTATAAATTGCTATATTTATAACTCATACAGTACGAACTATTTACTATTACATTTCAACATGAGAATCCCTGTGTATAACTTTATATAAACAAATGTAACCCACAAAAAATAAATCATTTATTGAATAAATATTATATTTGAATCATTGCTACGTTTACTTTCTGATTCTATGATTATTTTATTTTATTGGCTTTTTATTTAAACATAATAATTAGCATAAGCACATGATTGAAATTCAAAAGCTATATATAGTATTGATTATCCATTGGATGTGATGTGAGACTCGACCACCTATTATGTTGTTGTCCTCAACCAAACCCACACAAAACTTGCCCGGATTTTTGTCACTGCCGGATATGATGCCGATAACAACAGCCACGCCATTAACATACTGTACAATGGGACTGCCAGAATCACCCTGTTTAATGATCATTTTGAGATTCATATTATTTTTATTATGTTATTGTCAATTGCTCAGGACAGTTTTTGTTGGTTAATAGGTTTGTAAAAAAATTCTGAGGTATTAATAGGTAGTTATATTGACATTACCGTAATTTAGTTTCAATCATAATTTATTATTTATATCTAAATTGGTTGACAAAAGGGTGATATCTATAGAGAATCATGTCTAAATATATTCTGGCAATTAAAAAAATATCCAATATACTGCAGGAATAGCTTTAGCTTATTTAAAAAAGCATTATAAATAATAATTGACAAGTGACTTATTATTTGATATACCTTACATGTGGCCGAACCAGTTGGGAATGGTATGCGTCGGGCGTAAAGCGCGGCATTTCGTTGCAAAGTATTGTTGGGATCGATGTATGCCTTCTCAATGCGTGCAAAGCCAATGCGTTGTACTCCCGAACCCATACCGTTATTGTCAGCGAAACCGAAACCATTCAATATTACGTACTCTTTCTCCTCATTTACGAGCCACTCTTCGGGCAAACAAATGGCGTTAATTCCCGTCACACCTGACGTCCCGTCCAATGGTATAGCAGTGTTGAGTCGGATTAATCCCAAGTCAAAGGGTCGCCACTGATTGCGCTCATACTCGGGTGTAATGAAATACTGACCGCCCAAATAGTAGGTATGGTTTGCAATGCTTTGGTTCGTTATACTCCGTTCTCACGAGCATGCTGGGCCCAGTAAGTTTGCTAACATAAGCAAGCTTTGCGTTCTCATTAGGATTGCTTAAGTTGGCAAAATCTGTTTGCATTCAGAGCACATTTTTGTTGACCATTCCATTGTTGACCACGTAATTACTGAACTGTTGCATTTTATTGACTGTTCAGTAAAACAAAAGCACTGACCACATGTCAAACTGGTTTTGACACAATAAAGTGTAATGAATGTATAGACAAAACTACACGTTTAGTGTCTGTGCGCTGATTGGTTCAAGCCAAGTAACCTTTGCGTTCTCACTAGGGCTCAGGTAAGTATACTTGCTTAAGAAGGGTCCCTCGCTTGCTCCGATAAGTTAGCTTGCTTGGCTGTTCTCACGATGCTTAAGCAAGGTAGCTTACTCGAAGCATG